CCCAGAGAAGCTGTGGCTGCCCCCTCCCTGGCAGTGCTCAAGGCCAGGTTGGATGGAGCTCTGAGCACCCTGGGCTGGTGGAAGATGTCCCTGCTGATGGCAGGGGGGGTGGAACCAGATGATCTCTAAGGTCCCTTCCAAACCAAACCATTCCATGATTCTAAACGCACCCCGTGGACCTTCAGGCAACCCCTGAACCTTCGATCGGAGTCCAGCTGCGTGGCTGTGGGGACCTTGGCTTTGCTGGAGCCAGCTCTGCCCGTGGTGGGGAAGGCTGGGCTGGCTCCTGCCCCTGGCACAACTGCTGAGGCCCCCAACCAAGATGGGCCTGCTTAAGGCCGGTCTCTCCTTCCCCACGGCATCGGTGTGGCGAGGGGCACCTCGCGGCCACGTTGGACGCGCGTGTGTCCAACCTCTGCTCTCCCTGGGATCACAGGCAGGTCCTCCAGGACCCCTGGCTTCACTGAGGTGAGCGAAACCTCTCCAGCTTCACCCCAGAGCAAGCCCTTCCCCGTGGGTCTGTCCCCCGACCCAAGCCCAGAATTGGGGGTTTGTTTGGCTCATCCCCCCGTCCTGGCTCCTTTTGCTCCCAGGGAGGATGCAAAGCCCACGGCAGCATCAGCTCCCCGCTGCCTGCACACCAAGGTGGGGTGGTCCAGCCCCATGGTGCTTCATGGACATCTCCACCCACCAGTGCAGCGCCGGGCTTGGGCCGTGGAATGTGGACCTCCACCCACCAGTGCAGCGCCGGGCTTGGGCCGTGGAATGTGGACCGGCAGCTCTGGGGAGAGGGACTGGGAGTGCTGGGGGACGACAGGGTGACCATGAGCCAGCAGCATGCCCTGGGTGCCAAGAAGGCCAAGGGGATCCTGGGGTGCATCAAGAGGAGTGTGGGCAGCAGGGCGAGGGAGGTTCTCCTCCCCCTCTGCTCTGCCCTGGGGAGGCCCCATCTGCAGTGCTGTGTCCAGTGCTGGGCTCCCCAGTTCAAGAAAGATGAGGAGCTACTGGAGAGAGTCCAGCGGAGGGCT